ACATACATATATATATACACATATATACACACACACACCACACACATACATTCTCATTGGAGCATCTCTTTGCTTTATGCCTTTACAACATAGCACAAGGGGGTTTAATGTGTGACATTTACATCCATGCTTAATGTATCTTCCTCTAAAAGCATCTAGAGATGAATTAATTTTCAGTTTTGCCCTCTGGAGACCAGACTAGAAGCCTGGTGTGACAGACATACATGATATGTAGTCAGTGCTGTGCTGGCTGCATTATGCAGGTCAGTAGGCTGAGTGAGATGCAGAAACACTTTACATAGAATCTCCGGGTTCCATGTGCTGCTGCCGATGTCTAGAACCATTTTGTAAGTTGTACATAAAGTAAGATTTAGGGTAACACTGGCCGTACATATCATTTGATTTTATGATGTAATGACCATTTCAATGACAGAATTGCATGTTTGAGAAATAGATTGCAGTAAATGGGCAGGTCAATCGATAACTGATGGCACTAAGTGAGGAGATTAACAATAACAGGAATGCATTTAATGGGCAGATCAATGGAAAAAAAACATTTTTTTAACAAAAGGAATTAGCATAAAATTGAATAGAATGTGATCAATTAAGTATTTGCTGATGGGATCATTCTCTGACAAAATGATAATTTCACATCATGGGAACTATGAGCAATTGATTGCTTATCCTTATGTCATGTGATCATTTTCGTCTCTTTTGGCCTAAAAAAAGACCTTGGTTTGCACAGAGATCATTGCGTTCTTTACAACAAGACTTCTGTGCACACTAGTCAGGAATGGATATCAGCAGAAGAAAATAGACATGTTTGACTACAGCTCCTTCAATCAGCTGATCAGGGTTGCCAGCTGATAAGGTGCCGACTGTTGGCATCCACTGTGCGAATTTTGGCCCATTCACCAAGAACCGGCTGAAATTCGCAGTGTTTTGCCAGTATTAGCTTCATTTACCTGCTTCAAGCAGCTTTTGCGTTCCTAATTAACGTGTATGGGGAAAGTAACCATCCTGACATGAGCAAAAGCCCATCAACACAGTCCCTAAAAATTAGGTTTTTTAAAAATGTAGTTTTTTCAAGCCGGGTTGTGCAGGCAGGGCTACCCACTGATCAAATATTGGCTGAATCAGCAAGAAAAAACGGCCAAAATTCAATCCATGAATGAGGGTCGATATCTCATCTGTCTCTCTCTTGATGTATATTTAGGTCTATGGTCATTCTTCGGTTCTGCAGTTACAAAAACCAAAGCAGATCTTTGTCTTATGACTTGGCCAGTGATCTCAGTTTAACACACAAGCATTAAAATAATCAATTACTGCAACATAGAATTTCCCCGTGGTCATTACTCATCACTGCCCATTATAATGACCACAAGGACATGTTGCTTCCTCATATCTGTATTACCCAAGTATTTATTAACAGGGTTATTCACAAAAGGGTGAAGAATTTGGAGAAGGCAGGAGAAGTGAACGATCTAGGCCAAAATAGCTGCTTGTAAAACCAGCAAGTCAGCGATATATCTGATTTCATATTATGTATTTTAAATGGTGAATTTATATCTCATCTAATTTACACTCTGCCTGAAAAAAAGAAAAAAAAGTTTTGTCTCAGAGCCGAACAAGTTTGTGAAGTTCCTTTGATACATAATTCCTGTATTGTGTAGGTCATTTACTCTTCATTATTCACAGTAGACTGGATTAAGTGTAAAGGAAGTATAGGAAGCCCTTACAATAGGATTAGAAATTCGAAGAGGGCATTTGGAGGCCGGTAAAGCTAGTAATTCCCCAGAGTCCTCAGCACACAGGATGCCAGGGTCAGGAAAGGACATGAGGAACAGCGTATATCAGATTTATAGAGGTCAGAGATGTAGCCGGAAGATGTCAATAGGAAAAACTCACTTGGAAATATACTTGTCCTTCCCACATGGGACTAGTGATGTCTCTGGTGACTGCTCCATGTGTTCATCCCTTGATCTATGGGAGGGACAGCCTGAAAGAAGAAGAACATCATCAGCTTGTAACTCATTTTCTAATAAAACTACAGAAAGCAAGTCAGTGGCCCAGAACACCATTAGCACTGCTTAAAGAATATTTCCACTTTTTGCAGTCAAATTTGAGAAAATCCCTCTAATCCCTGCTGTGTGCTATGTGCTCCCAATGAGGGCTACATACCTAAAAAAAAATTAAAAAAAGATTTCTTACCTAGATGTCTCTGTGTTGCAGGACTTTACTGCAAGCTACTCCTTCAGTATCCAAGTGACAGGAAACTCTGTGTGTGCCCATAGAAAGACAGACTGAGCTTCCCCTCATTATCATAAAATGCTTCTAGATCTTTAACCCTTTGTTAGGAGACCGTGTTCAAGTCTAGTTTACAATGGATAACGAGATGTGCCAGCAGAGTACAGACAGGGTTCATTATGTTAACATAACTGTTGAGGACAACTGTTCTTTTAGAATACAGCATGTATTGTAAAAAAAATTATAATAATAAGTTATGCAATGCAAATGGGAACATGTAATAAATATAAAATAGGCTTTATCCCAGCTGCAAATGTGGCATTGCACTTGAGACCCCATTCACACTGAGCGATTTGTAGAGCAATTTCTGCTAAAAAATTGCTTAAAAATCGCTCAGTGTAGCTTGTCCAATGCATTTCAATGGAGCTGTTCACACTTCACAGCTCAATGTTGCCTGTAGCTTGTAGCTCAAGCTTGTCGCTCGAACATGACCTATTTTTCCAGCGGATTTTGTGCGATTTGGCCCCAAAAGGCTTTGATAGACTGCCAAAAGAAGCGCTACAAAATGTGCACTGTAGCTCAACGTCGCTCAGCTCAAATCTTTGATGTAGCTCAGTGTGAATGGGGTCTTAAAGAAACTCTGTTGCTGAAAAGTGCAGAGAAAAGCTGTCCCAGCAAAGAAGGTAAATACCTTTCATTCTGCTGTCCCTTCAGAAGCTGGCACATCCAGGAAGGAAAGTGGTTCCTCCCAATGGCACTCATAGGACCCAATAGTGACCGCAGGAGGATCCAGTGAGTATAGTATAGGAAAAAGCAATATGTCTGCCCTTCTATTATCTTCTGAGAACATAGGAGATAGACACTCCTGGAAAGATTGGTTTCTGAAGACACTTCGGTGGATGATTTCTCTTTATCAGAGAAGTATTTGATGGTATAGGCACCAGGAGAAGGATTTGCTTTTACAAGCAGAGCTTTAACGCCATAACTGATACCTGAAATCATACCCGGAATGAGCTGCAAGGCTATATTCAAATGCTAACAGACTTGCTGCAATGTATACATAAATGGTGCTCCAGGTTCCCTTTGATGGTGCTCACATAACCAAAAGCCTTGGTATTTGTCATGTGCACAATGAGAAAGGGAAGAGCAAGGAAAACAAACACACTGGCTGATGCTCCCTCCAGCAGGGATCACATAAACCAATTCCTAAAGTTCTAGTCTTTACCAGCACAGTAGGGAGCCTGTAACAGTACTTTCTCCAGGAAAAATCAATATGTCCGCCCTTCTATTATCTTCTGAGAAAAAACACACAGTGGATGCTTAGCCTAGGGCACTAGATCTTTACAGTGCCAGCCTGCCTCCCCAATTCTCTGCAATACCCCCCAAAGACCCTATGTAAATACAAACGTTGGGACAAGCACAACCCACTGTACTTGAATCTGGTCAATAGTTGCACAGTTGACCAGTACCCAGAAGTCTGGGTTTTCCAGGTGGTCTTAGCAGTGCATAGGAGAGGCACCGACCAAGTAAGACATCCCACTGCTATAAAGCTCATGGGCTAATTTGCTCTCTCTCTTTTGGTATAGATTCACCTAAATCCTGAAGCTAAGCCATACATCCTCAATAAGTTCACAGTCATTACCTAGGGGGTTACAGTAATCAGAGTTCCCCTCTTTAATCAGAGTCCCTCCTTACATTAGACGCTGATATAAGAGGGGACACTGGGGATCCTGATGTAAGGAGGGAGGCAATGTCCCCAGTACCCCCTATATGTATGCACACCTCTCTACTATACTGAGGCAGTGACTGCCGTTTTGACTATTCAACCCCTGCTGATACAGGTTAGTTAAACTGCTAGGCAGTCTGCTGTGTCCGTGCGAACTTTCACTGACCCTTGGAGCGGCGTCCCCCCTTCAAGTGGCGCCCAGGGAATGTGCCATATGTGCCATGCCGTGGATGCGCCACTGCTTGGAAGGTATGCTGCGAGAGTTTATATTTGCTTGTGCCCTTACAAGGCCTCTGTCAAGGTGCAGCTCTCTCACATCTGGAACTGCCATTTATTTGGCGTCATTTGGTTATGGTCACACCAAGATCTTTGGGCTGAAGTGAAGATTCTGGTAGGGATATCCTATTACTAGAGCCCCCCAAAAAATTTAGGAAGACATCATGTGATTGGGAATAAATGTTGTTTTTCGGTGAAGTTTTCTTTTCAACAGAAGATTGGCAAAGCAGCTGAAGTTTCCCAAGCACAGGAGAGCCGTGCGATGAAACAGCTGCCTGATATGTGCAGCAATACAGAAGTTACTGTTACTTTGTATTCTTTGTATTCTTTATGAAATTGTATTTGCCTTCCTGTTTGCAGACAGGCGGCTATAGATCTGGTCTGTCTTCGAGGCGTGTGACAAGAGAGTCACTTCCTTCCTAAAGTCACAGAGCTTCCTCTCCTGCAAGCTGATGGGGGTGCAATTGACAAAGGATGGTCACAGGAAGAGATGAGTAACTGGTATTTGCATGTATACAATGTGCTTATATAGTACAGATAGAACATCACAGAGCCTCAAAGTCCTCACCTGTAACTTAATAGACAACATTCCATGAAAATACTATGACCCCTGAATGCACGGCAATGCTTTTACCCACTATATGTATTTATTAATAGAATATCTTTTAGAGTAGTCACTGGAGAACAACACATAAGGCATTATAACTTAAGCCGCGTATACACCTGCTGGCTGAATGAAGAACATATAAACAGATTCTTCAATCAACGCTTCCAAGCGTGGATGGAGGACACCACTTCTGTTTTCATTGTATTCTGGCAGCTGATCAGACATTTTTTACATAAAATAAATTCTTAATGGTCCACATAACTAGTAGCGTGGCAGGGGTGTGTCCATTGCCTATATATAACTGGGGGAATGGCAGGGGTGTGTCCCTTGCCTATATAGAACCGGGAGCGTGACAGGGGTGTGTCTATTGCCTATACAGTATATAACAGAGCATGGCAGGAGGGTGTACATTGTCTATATACACTGAGTGGCCAGATTATTATGACCACCCCATCAGTACTTCGTTGGGCCATGAGATAACTCCACGAGATGACATTTGCCTATATATAACTGGGGTCAGGTCTGACCTGAATTTGTTCTCTCTGACCTGAATTTGTTCTCCTGACCTGAATTTGTTCTCTCTGGAGAAGAGACGATTAAGGGGGGACATGATCACCATGTACAAATACATAAATGGTCCATATAAAGAGCTTGGTGCCAAATTATTCACGTTAAGGTCACTCCAAAGGACAAGGGGGCACTCTTTGAGTCTGGAGGAAAAGAGGTTTAACCTTTGCATACGGAAAGGATTCTTCACAGTTAGAGCTGTGAAAATGTGGAATAGACTCCCCCAGGAGCTTGTTCTAGCTAGCTCGGCTAATTGTTTTAAAAAATATCTGGATGTATTTCTAAATGCACAGAATATTACAGGATATTAAGTTCTTAGAGGTATATTAAGCATCAGAGATTGTTGATCCAGGGAACATCTGATTGCCTTATGGGTTCAGGAAGGAATTTTTTCCCCTGTTGGAGCAAATTGAACCATGCTTTATAGGGGGTTGTTTTTGCGTTCCTCTGGATCAACATTGGGTAATTGTGGGCATAGTGTTCTGTTCAGGCTTTTCTTCTTTTTCTTCTTTGTATCTCTATAGGTTGGACTCAATGGACTTGTGTCTTTTTTCAACCTGACTAACTATGTAATGGGTGTGTGTCCATTGCCTACATATAACTGGGGTCATGGCAGGGGTGTGTCCTTTGCCTGTATATAACTGGGGTCATGGCAGGAGTGTGTCCATTGCCTATATATAACTGGGGTCAAGGCAGGGGTGTGTCCATTGACTGAATATATTGCGTTGGACGGTATCCCTCTTTTCATCTCTTTTATACTTTATGAAGCAGCAGATTATTGTCTATTTCTTTCATATGTTAAAAGACACAGCAATACAGAATAATCTGCTTTTGCAGCACGGACGGAAAGATAAAAGGTACAATAATAAAGAGTCAATCACAGGAAACACCACTGTATAAAAGAGCTCCTTCCCACAATGCAATAGTACCACAGCTGAAAAAGAGAAGTGGATAACCACAGTGAATTCAGTTACTCGTCGCCCTATTCTTGGGCTCGTCGTTTTCACTTCCCTATCTACTGCTGGTTTCAGGAGGACAGATTTCCTCTACGCATTGCGCTTCTGCACAGGGACCCTGTACAACTAGGAGGACCCAGAAAGACAAAAGGGGCCACACAAGAGACTCTAAATCTGGGTATATACTAAACATGTATACCCAGCGTTAGAGTCCCCCTAAGCGTATTTACCCAGGATTAGAATCGCCCTAACCGTGAGATTATATATATATATATATTCTTCGGGACGCAGAAGCGATCTGGCGACAGGTAAGTCGCCAGGATCGCTTCTGTTGTAAAGCCGACAGTCGGCTCTACAAGTTTAAACAGACTCCCGGCGGCAAAAGTCGCCGGGAGTCTGTTTAAACAGCCCCGATGCTGGCGACGTACACTGTACGTCGTCAGTCACGAAGGGGTTAAAATTTGTGTTCGATTAATCAAAAAAATTTTTTTAATCGATTAATTTCAATTAATTATAACACACATACAGATCCAACTACATTGGCCTATACACATACAGCACAGCAATGAAGTAATAAAATGAACTAGGATCACAGTAATCCAACACGTTATTAATCTCACGT